AGAAACTAGTCCATGCATTTGTTACTTCAAGGCTGGAATATTCTAATTCTTTACTATCAGGAAGTCCACAAACTGTAGTTAAAAGTCTTCAGCTGATCCAAAATGCTGCAGTCAGACCTCTGATGAAAATTAGAAATGGAGATCGTATCTCTTCTATCCTGGCTTCTCTTCATTGGCTTCCTGTTAAATCCAGAATAGAATTTGAAGGGAGGAGGTTGCTGGTGAAACCTGTTCAACGTATCTGTCCAAAGTGGTGCTCTGTTCAACCAGCGAACCAGGCGACTGGTTGAACAAAGAGCTGATTGGATCAGCCTGATAAGTTTCTCTGGTTACTCTCTGGCAGTCACCTAGTTACCACTCAAAGTTGTGCATACTGTGAAACCGCAAAGGTTGAATCCTCGAGTAAAAAACGGAAATGTAGGACTAATTTTACAGCAGAATATACTAAAATATATCCACGTCTAGTGAAGGTGAGGAACAGTGGCGGATCTAGACCAAATGTACCAGGGGGCCAGGAGGGGGCCAGCGTGTTTTCATGGGAGGCCCAGAAAAGCATGAAATAAAAAACTGGGCAAGGGATTTAAATATATTAAGAGAGCTGCATGAAGTGAAATTTATTTTCAATGAGGTTCAATAAAAATTCTATTTCTTATGAGGTCTATATACATTTATGATTTAGGAATTTTACATATTTTTGACTTAATTTAAGTTAAAACTACCGTTTTCTATAAAATTTGAATTAGAACTCAACAAAAACTGTTAAATTCATCTGTAAAAATTAGAGCATTTTTTCTATTTGTTGTGAGGAAAAAAACATTTAGCAGATGAAAACTGGGATCCTATCTCAATATCACTGAACCTATCACCTTATTGTTTTTGAATAATTAGTAAAAGAGAATTTGTAAAGAAAAAGAATGAAATAGATCCAAAGGACCCATCAATAACCATGTCTGTTCCAGCCCAGATCATCATTAGAATTTCTTTAAAGTATTATGTCTTCAGTACAGGGGCCAGGACATGATCTACAGGGGTGCCGGCCCCCGTTGGCCCTTGTCTAGAACCAGCCATGGTGAGGAACGATGACAGCGTGGCGAGGTGCACTGTATGCTGAAGTCCCATGAAAAATAGAAAGCATAACCAATGTCAAAGGCTACAAGATTGAAGTATTGAACATTGAAAATAAAGGACGAATACTTTTCTGTTTTGTGTTTAAGAATTTACTGTTAGTTAATAAACAGTTGATGAGAAGTTGCTGGCCTTAAGTGTGCATGTAAGCTTGATGTATGGGGCATGGTGCGATCCGTTGTCCTCGGGGTGTGTGTGTTTGAGTTTGGGGGTGCGGGGGTTGTATGATAAGAATCTCCCTGAAATGCATGCAAAATTATTGCATGTTCCATATCCCAGTACATCTTTTTCCCCTTTGAATCTGCAGCTCTTCCTACTTCTCTCTGTGCTCTGTTTAAAAAGATTCATGAACCTCTTTGCTAATATAATGATGCCAGAAACAAAATTTAAAGATATGCAGAAGCTCTGCAGTCTGATTCTGTGTGCATGTGCATATTCTCATTTTTATCATTGGTCACACCTTCTTGCATGAGTTGACGTTTTCTAGAAATTTCTAGATATTTACAGAAGTTACTGAAAGCCCCTCAGTTGTCTCATTTAAATCTGTGTTTTGGTATGAATTGAATGATCCGAACCTACAGAAACAGAACCTACACTGAATGCATTGGTGTAATCCTACAAAATAAAATGTTTTGTACTATATTTCATTTAAATATACTTTTTTTTTTTGATTGGCTTGCAATAATTTACATACCCTGCTAAAAGATATTGTGTGTTTTCTGTTTGTAAATCTTGGTCATTGTTATCATTCTAAGTAAAATATTTTTAAAATTATTACTTCAGGCACTTTAAAAGAGGCGGTATAAACTTACATCATATTCACATTATTTGTGACATTGAACAAATGTTGTTTTGTCTTAGTCTCCAAGTTTCCTTTTTTTATTTTTTAAAAGGTTGCTTTAAATATTACTATTAATTTTAATATATACATTCGATCTGATTATTATTTGCCCTGTTCTCTGCACCTTATTATCAAGCTGCTATGAACGTACAACCTACAAGTCTGCTATACCACAGACAGGGGGCAGCACTTTATAAACAACCCGACCTCATGGATCTGCATAGAATTTTCTAGAACAAATTCTGTGTTGCGTTTTTATTGGCTGTCGTGAAACAGCCCCCTCTTCTCAGCCAATCAGATGAGAGAAGCATAAGCACAGCTGTCTGCGTTGCTGGGTATGTAAAACAAAAGCAGGAGCTTTCTCGTCTGAGTGGAAAGGTTCGTGCTGCAAAACGGTACGTGTTTTTTTCGTATTTTATTCCTGATAAAACATTTAAAATGTGTTGAATTTCACTCCTTCGAGCTTTAGCATCTGTAGAATGTTGCTAGCTTCGTCTATTTAGCTGGCGACCGTTTGTTGTTTTCGAGATAAGTTGCAAGGTAACGAATCAAAATGACAGTCAAACAAGCGTTTACCCTACTATTATTTTTGCAATTTGAGTTTAAAGTCTGTTTTCATGTAAATTAAGATACAGACATATTTATTGAAGGGTTTATAGTCTGTTTTATATTAGCGGTTTAGACCCTCGTGAGCCATTGTTTGTCAACAGTGCGGGTTTGAATGGAAAACGGCAGAGGGGTTGTGTTGCGACATGTCTTGGCAGATCACTGCGCGTCTTTAACGACATGTATCATTAATTGTTATATTATTTTTTTGCAGTTCTTTGTGGGAAGCTATTTTCTGTTCTAAACGATGGCGACCGACTGCGAGGCTTGGCTGAACGCTAACCCTGTTGGTAAGTGTGAAACCTCAAATACTTCATCAGCTGAGACTGAGGTAGGGTAGTGGTACTATTTTTATGTAGAAGTGGGTGATTTTTGTATTTCCTCTCACTACACACCGAAATGACTCAATCTTTCCAGCATCATTTTTTTTTTTTTTTTAGATACAGCCTAGTTAATGTTGTCATAACTTAAATATTGTGCACACATGCTGTGTTGTTATATTTTTCTTCAAATCAATGTAGATTGGCATTTTCAAATTAAGCGTGTGTATTTCTATACATAATTTGACAATAAAGCTGTTTACATTAATAAAGCAATAACCTTACAATACAAAGATCATGTGTGCAGGTTAAAATTTTAAATAAACTTTTATCTACAAACCTGTGGACAATTGTTTACCAAAGTAGAAGAAAAATCTAAAGGTGTAATTTTATTTAATATTGCAACGTTCAACAAATAGCCTTTTAAGAATGCTTAGATATTTTGGATTAAATCAGATGTTGGTCAGTTAATTTATATGACTCAGCCAAAAGATTAAACGGATAACCATAGAATAGTTCTTCTTAATTCAAACCGAAATTATAAATCAGGAGTAAATTAAAGGTGCTATAGGAGATCATGGAAATAAGGTTCTAGCAGGCTGTATTTTTGAACAGACACAACCATGCCTCTCCCTTCAGACCACCCCTCGAAACCACGGCTTCAAAACACATGAAGGCACATGCTGCCTGCAGCGCATCTAGAGCCGCATGTCTTAGCAGTGATGATGCAGAGCGCTGTGATCACTCCTCTGAAACATTTTATTAACACCGAAATTAACTTAAAATGCCCAAATCTGCTGGCAAAACATGTTCACTTTTATTATCCTGGTGCCTGCAGTTTAGATTACGTACATGAAAAATGCCTTCCAGCCGCAGCGGCAAACCCCGAGGAGGTGACCGGGCCATAGGTTGCTGTTGAATGGGATTCCTAGTGCCAGTGCACCGCCGGTGTATGGGCGTCTGAGCCGCTCAGACAGAAATAATATTTGAAGGCAAGATGGTAATCTGGATGAACTGACTCCACTGACAATGTTTTCAGGTGGACTTTCTCACTTCAAAATAGATTGAAACTACTTTTTACCCACTGATCACAGAGAAATATAGCTGCCATTGTTACAGGCAAAGAAAGGATAGGGTAGCAACTAGGGGTGGAAAGGTTCACAAAATCCACGGTTCGGTTCACGGTTTCGTGGTCACGGTTTTCGGTTTGGTATATCTTGATTGTTACCCCGAAATCCCATAAAAATTAATTAAATAAATGAAAAAATCCAACAAAATTAATGAATTGTAATTATTTTTAATGATCCGCGGAAACCCTGGATAATTTCCGCATGTTTTGCTGCTTTGAATTTAATCATCTTGCGCATGCCACGGCACTCAGAGCGGACCGGATGAGAGCCACAGCGGTGGCTGTAGGCTTTGCTTTGTGCAGGCGGTCTGGAGCGCAGTATGAGGGATTTCGGGGTTAGCATGACATGTTGGCCGTGTTGCTGTTAGCATAAACAAAACGTGTTGCACAATGCTTGCACACTGTGCACTTTTATCCACAACTTTCTTTCCGCCGTCATCGTAGGTCACTCTAAATGCAAATAGGTCCCATACAGCAGACCTATAAAGTGCTGCTGGGGCATCTTCAACTCCTGTTCTTTCCCACTCGCCATACCCACACAATTCTCCACAACAAATGAATTTTTCTGCTACATCCGGCTAAGCTGCTTCGCTTCTTCTTCTTCTTGTTTACTGCTGGTGGTTGGCTTTTGTCGCAGTACCGCCACCTGGAGTGTACACGCTTCACCTATGAGAAAAAGGAGCCGCGCATGAACCGATTGCAACACACGCGAACCGAGCGATTCGGACGGTTTTCATAAACCGTTCCATCCCTAGTAGCTACGCCCAACGCACATCGGAGCCACTTTTTCACCGCGCAGCTAGAGCAGCAAATATGCTTCAGCCGTGTGTCAGAACTAAACTTGTTCAAGCATCAAAAATGAAGCAGCACGTGTGTTTTTGCTGCTCTTGTTGCTTTAGGTGTGTACACCAACTCGTTCTTATGTGTTTAACAGAGGCTGAGGTCCTCAGCGATTCCTTCATTTCAGCTGAGGAAGACAATGGAGGAACTGGTGTCTCCAATAAGAACATCATCATCAACAACGAGATCAATGGGAACTGGCTGTCTTCCTCCAGCAACAACATCCACGAGGCTCGGCTGAAGGCAAAGGCCAAACGAAGGCTGCGTAAAAACTCCTCCAGGGATTCAGGCAGGGGGGACTCCCTCAGTGACAATGGGGACGTAGTGAGAGGAACCTCTATGGCACCGACAAGTCCCAAAAGCAAGCTGCTCGACCGAAAGTCCCGAATGGGAAAGGGCAGAGGCCTGCCAAAAAAAGGTAACTGCTTCTTTGTAATGTGATATGCATATTATTACTCAACAGCATTTAAGTTATTGTCATTTTAAGGGATCATTTGACAGCAGGACCTAGAATCCTAATCCATCAAAGGAGCTTGCTACTTCTTGCAGTTGTCTTTCAAGTGCTGATCCTTTAAACAATTAGACATTTAACATGGATATATAGACCTATCTCTGTCTGTAAACAAGCAGTTGGTTGATCTTAAGCTCACATCCTTTAAAACAAGCTTTCTTCATGTCTAGCATTTATTAAAGCTTTTCTGTAATCTTCCGCTCAAGGATTAACACAGAACTCAGTCAGATAGTGTGTATGTTGTCTAGCGTTATATTTATCTTTCCCAAGTGAAATGTAAGTTAAGGAATGAATTAGTCTAAAGTTAGGAATTGAGCATGTCTATGGGTTATAAATGGAAACAAAATGCTGTGATTTAAGTGCATCTAAATGTTTTTTCTTTGTGTTGTCAAAAGGAGTTAACCTTGAGAGGAGGTTTGTATTTTTTGCTGTTTGTTAACAATCTGCATCTTCTTAGTGATGTAACCAGCTCTCATTTAAACTCCCTTTCAGACCATTTTGAATCTGTCAACTTGCCTTCTTTACATAGGCAGTAGACAAAAGGGCATGTCCAGTTTTTCCTTGGTGGAAAGTCTCTCCTCTTTTGGTTACGGTACTGGGCTGTTGAAACAGAAGCAATCATATCTAAGGAGTTTCATTTTCTGGACTTAAATATGTACACTTTCTAGTTAAGATGAGAAATGTTTAATGTCAAGTGTGCTGGTTTCCTTTTTTGTTCCTTTTTTTTTTTTTTTTTTTTTGTAAAGCAAACGAGAAATCAGACTGTAACCTTGGAGTGGGATGGATTGTCAACTGATGTGGGATTAGCTAAATATAGTCCTCCACCCACAGACTGGGTGGAACTAACAGGGGTTTTAAAGGATGTTTTCAAGCTGCTTTGGTGTTTGGATTCTTAAACTGTCTGCAATCTGTTGGGGCTCACCCCCTGGTTGTTTTGTTTTAGGCCTACACAGAATATGCAGTCTGATCTGCATATTGGCCACAGCAATGTTGAAGCTCATATTTAAAGCTTGAAAACAAAATTTAAAACTTGGCTTGAGTTAACCATTTAGGGAGCAGAAACACGACATTGTCGTTCTCATAGTCTTTTATTTCCCCCCTGCTTATTTAACATTTTGGTGGTCAGATGTTTTGAGTAACATAACCTTTGACTCTTATTTGCAGGTGGGGCTGGAGGAAAGGGTGTGTGGGGACGATCGGGTGAAGTCTACGAACCCGTGGAAGTGGACAAGAAAGACCCCAACTTTGATGAAGATCAGGTAATTATTGTAATATATCTGCCATTCATTTGCATTAAGAACAGTTGTTTAGTTTAGTATTTGATAAAGGCACACACCCCAATTAGTTCTCATAATATGATCACTTGGATTTAAAACCTGAGGGTTTGACTTTAGAAACTTCAAAAGGTTACATTTTTCCAGCTCTGGTATCTACTGATTGTGAAGCTCGCCTCACACCTCTGATGCTAAGCGGCCCACGAGTCGCTGCTTCAAGATGAGCTGCTCTATGGCAGGCCGTTTTGACATTTACTAGCTTGACTGAATATATAATCCAGATGTCTCAAATGCATTTCTTCCTAGTCAAAATGAACATCTCAGAAATCTAAAATGTAATTCTTGCTAGAACAAATGAAGTCACGTTTCCCATTCATGTGTATTGGGCTTTTACTTCCAGATATCAAAAAATAAACACTCTTCCTATCTAAAATTAATTCTGACAAGGATAAATTCTAATTTCAGATCTCCATAATAGAGTTACTGCTAGTCATAATTATGATTTTAGACATCCAAAATGAATATAACATAACAGATATCCAGAAATCCAATTCTTGACATCTGAAATGTTTTTCTGCTAGTAGAAATTTCATTACAGATATCAACTATTTATTTTATGACTAGTTAAATTAGAATTTTCAGTATCTCAATTTTAATAATGCCTATCTAAATCTATTTAACCATCTATTTAGTTTTAGATACTTTCAACAGAATAAAGAGGCTCCATTTTAACATAAAATAGCCAGGGTGACTAATCACATTTCTATTATAGATAGCACTAAAGCATTCTATCTAGTCTCAATTACAATACTCCTAGTCAGAATTGCATTTTAGATATCTCTAATTACATTTCTACCAGTAGAAATACATTTTAAGTACTCTGGGATGAAATTTGAACTAGTAAGAACTACATTTCAGATATCTACAAATATTTACTTATTTTAAGTGGCCGTTTTAACATATATTTGTTTGTATTTCAGATATCTTTAATAGTAGTCCGTGCGCCTTCATGCTCCTCAATCATAGGCATTGCATGTAAACCGCCTGCTCAAAACGCGTTTGTTGGGAACGCAGCACTAGCTCTAGGGTTGCCACCTGTCTGTCAAATACTGAATCAGCCTTTTTTCTAAGGTAGTTTAATATTGTGTCTGGTATCATATCAATAAGGAAAGCAATTTGTTGTGTTTTCATGAGAGATGAAAGGTGGTAACCCTTGATTACCTGGTTACTCAGGGTTCACACCAGCAGCTTTATGTTGACAAACAGCCAGAATTTTCAGTTTCATTGAAAAGGGAAAACCATAGGGGCCATCTCTTATGCAGCTTATTAGCAGTGCACAGCAAAAGGTGTGGGAGAGATGGTTATTTTTCCCTTTAGCATTGTATAATGGCATTGGTCTGTGGGAAAGTGATAAAAGCAATTTTCCAGATTGAACGTCTGTCCTCCTGACACAAGAACAATGTTGCTGTGTTTTGACAGGAAAACTGTGTGTACGAGACTGTGGTGCCTCCGCTGGATGAGAGGGACTTTGAGAAGACTGTTACCCCTATAGTGCAGGAATACTTTGAACATGGAGACACCAATGAAGTAGCTGTAAGTTTTTTTTAAAGAATACTCCTGTTCAGAAAAAGGCTCCTCTGTTTCCCTTTGCAGCCTTAAACTAGTGCAAACTGAGGTCATTTCCCTTCTTCAGGAGCTGCTTGCAGAGATGAACCTGGGGCCCATGCGGAGCGAGGTGCCCTCACTTGCTGTGTCTCTGGCCCTGGAGGCCAAAGCGAGCCAGCGGGAGCTTACCTCCAGGCTACTAGTTGACCTGTGTGAAAGTGTTCTTTCCCCCAGCGACATGGAGGTCTCTTTTGACAAACTACTCCGAGATCTGCCAGATCTGGTCCTGGATACACCTGGGGCGCCTCAAGTAAGTTTCTAGAACCTCTGACTAGCGGCTGTTTGCTGCAAAAACACTTTCAGAAAGTAAACAAAACAGATTTTCTTCCCCCTCACTTTGTTTTAACTTAGGAAAGAGCTGCTTCTACTGCTTCATTCTTGTGCCTCACAATAGTATTCACACCTCTTAAGAAGTTTTTTCACATTACAACAACAATGGGGGGTGTTATTTAATAGACAAACGTAAAGTTGCATATACAGATAAAAATCCAAAGGTGCAGCAGAAATGAACATGCAGCTCTATACGCCCTGACGCCCTAAAATAGTGCAACCAGTTGCCCTCCAGATTTCAGTAACAGATGATGTTTGAAGGCTTGTTAGACATCAGGGAGCAAATGGGATCATGAATGGGATCATGAAGACCAGTGATCAGAATCAAAATCATCAAAATCTTTAAAAACTAATAGCAGTTTCAACCCATCAGCTGAAATTAAAAAGTAGGGAAAAACCGCACAGAGACCCTGCTATGTTGGTCCTTAAAAGATATCCATAAAATGCTCAATTTACTTCGGGGAATACCAACACTGAGGCACTTTTCCATTAGTACTAACTCACTGTGACGCTCAGTGTTGCTCAGTTGTGATTGAACTCCATGTGAGGAGTTTTGTTAAAACAGCCCAAACCAGTTAAATGCTGTTGGTGGTAACTGCTAATCAGCCTGAACACATGGATCTGGTGGCAGCATGGTCAGGATAGCTGTTCTGACTTGATAGGAAGATGTTTGGAGGTCATTGAAGGCCTCAGGCAGCTGAACATACACCCCAAAAAGTCTTGCAGGTGTCATAGCAGCTTTTCAGTTTATTATATTTATATTTATTTGTAAGTAATGTTTTAAAGTTAGCTATGTTTACATGGACAAAAATAATCAGTTTTATTCAAACATGTCAGATTGTAATTGTTTTGCTCCTATCAAATGTCATTCCCAAAGAGAAAGGTGGAGTTTTTTTCTTATCGTCATTCCAATCGCCATCCATTTTTCTTTACACCAAACAGAACGGGGACGAAAAAAAGTCCATGGGGGATTTCTTTTAAGAAGCTTTTTCTTTGAAACTTGTGGATTTGTTGTAAAAGGAAATAAAATGCAACATACATTGAGCGAGGCTTATTTGTCATAACACTTGCCATCCTGTTTCGTTTTTGTTGGAACTTTAACTCTGCTTGTGGCTGAGCAGAGGGGAACACCGCTGTGGTTTTATCTGTTGGTTTGCAAGAGAAGAGAGCGTGTGTCTCTGTGAGCTTTTTCCTTTTCAGTCTGAGCAGACATTAAATCTCTCACTATTGTCTATCTTTTCTGGTAAAATGCATGCTCAGCAAAGAGCGCTCAGAGGCTTATTTGTAAGCATCCCTCACCAATCCCCTCCTTACATTGTCTGATTTATCTGACCAGTCATCTAGTCCCTGCTCTCTCTCTTTTTTTGGGGGGGTTTGTTGGGGCATTATGAATGCCCTTCCCCCACTCTATGTTGAACTTTCACTAGAGGGTCTCTTATTTTCACACGCTTAGTCTGGCCCCCGCAACGCACCACGCTGCCTCTGGTCCAAAAAGAAACAATGAGGGCGTGCTTTGTGGTGGCAAAAAGTCCAAAGCTGGCTCTTTGGTCTCCCAAAACTGTGCGGCCCCCACTGGCGTAAACAAAGGCACATGTTCTAAGGGCAACCATTATATCCCTGTTTGTTTGGGATGCTCTCAATCCAGCCAATAAACCTGTGGCACTGTACTTTTGCGTTTGTTTGGATTTCACAGCAAACATACAATGCCTCACTTGACCTCTATTATTTGGAAAGAGAAACAGTCTTTTAGTGTGATTTATATTCCACTATGTAATGTTCCTCAATGGGTTTAATATGGACATCCTTCTCATTCATTTTCTCCTTTCAGATGGTGGGCCAGTTCATTGCTCGGGCTGTTAGCGACCAAATACTGTCCAAAAGCTACCTAGAGAGCTACAAAGGCAAAGTCGACTGTGAACATGCGAGGTATGCAACTTTTACTGAAGCACTTCTACTGTCTGTTTACTACACCAAGCTGATGTAACACAGAGCTTTACCACCAGGGTTTGCCAAACGTAAAGCCTTTCAGAGCAGAGAGGTAGAGATGAACAAATTCTGACTAAAAATAAACATGTACTATATTAGTAAAAGTTTAGCATACAGTGCGTTAAACACAGCTGTTGGGTAGAGTTACCTTAGTAGCAAAGTGCTGTTTGAACAGTTCAAATTAAGCATTTGTGTGTTTATATTTTAACTTTATTATAAAGAACGATGTTTATCTGCAGAAAAAGAGCTGAAGGTTGGCACATGGTTGTTAATCAATTGACCTGTTCAAGCTAGAGTATAGATTTGGAAAACAAAACAGATTAAGGATTACGGTTAAAGTGGCTCTATGGATTTATGGATATGTCTTTATTAACTAAAATGTGAAGATCTCAGCTTCTTTAATGTCTTTGCTATCCTTATTCCTGAACATGCGCTGAATGTTAAATCTGATGTTTTTAAAGTTTTAATATGCAAGGCAGGCTTCCTTTAGTTGTACTTGATGTAAAACGTGTCAGAATCGTCTCTGTACTCGACTTCACACGATTAGCACCTAACAAAAAAGTTAAATGTATTTTTTTTTCATCCTCTCAGTTAGAAGCAAAACACCCCCATGTCCAAATATGGTCTCTTCTGAGTCACAAAAATGGTATTGGTTGCCCTCAGATGTGGGACAAGGTTCAGACTTCAATACAGACACTTTAAACAGTATAAAAAGTGTGTTTTTGTTGTTGGCAAATTTTGGAAGAAATTTGATTGGCCTAATTTTGCATGAAATCTCCCATCAGCATATAACGGAAGTAATTTATTACATTTGCAGAGCGGCTCTAGATCGAGCAGCTGTGCTGCTCAAGATGAGTATGGGTGGTCTTCGTATTGACAACCACTGGGGTACAGGAGGAGGCCAGAGACCTGTCATTCAACTCATCAAAGAGGTAATTACTTTTTAGTTTTGGTCATACTAAAATAGGTCAGTCATTGGTATCCATGGGCTAACATATGTTCACTATTAGAACCTTGCTATTGTTAGAGGTTCAGTCCTTTTCACCGTTAACTAAATGTAATAGAAGCTCCTCTGTCCAACTAGTGCAACACTTTTGTTTCTTAAAGAAAGATGAATTGTTTTCATAATAGATTTTCTCTTTTAGATGAACCTGCTTCTTAAGGAGTACATCTTGTCTGGTGATAGCAAGGAAGCAGAGAGATGCCTTCGTGACCTGGAGGTCCCACATTTCCACCATGAATTTGTATATGAGGTACACACAGGGTTACAGTTGTTCTCCTATTATCATTATTATTAAACTTTACAAAAATGTATCTAAGAAAATCTGTGCTGCTCTTTCCAGGCAGTCGTGATGGTTTTAGAGTCCCGAGGGGAGAAAACATTCAAAATGGTGCTGCAGCTACTCAAATCACTCTCTCTGTCCTCCATCATAACCATGGACCAAATGCGAAGGGTATGGCTCCACCTGCTGTTTGAGTAGAGCGCTGCAAAGAAGGCTCCTTTAATAGTGAGGTAGTTAAAATCGCCTTATCTCTTTCAGGGCTATGAAAGAGTTTACATGGACATCGAGGAGATAAACATTGATGTTCCTCTTGCATATTTTATCCTGGAGCAATTTGTGGATAAGAGCTTTCGCATGGGAATCATCAGTGTAAAGCTAAGAGACCAATGTCCCCGCAGGTAAGGGCTTTGATTTTGATCATTTATTAAATATTTGCCAAGATTTGAAGTTGTTTTATTGATGCGCTGATCATCTTCTTTGTGATTTGTCTTTTAGGAACCGAAAGAGGTTGGTCAGCGAAGGAGACTGTGGAGTTGTGAAATTTTAACGGTACTAAGGAGGCCTTCTTATGAGCCAGAATTCCTGAAAAGAAGTGGAAATACTTAACCTTTTTACTTGCGTATTTTGAAAAAATAGTGAAGTAAAATGTTCTCCCTTCTAACGGTATAATTCTGGAAAAAAAAAAAAAAAAGCTGCACTTTTGATTTAAATTGAAGTAGACCACTCTTCTCCAAAGGGTTTCTATACAAATATTTACATAAGCTATCCCTTAAAGTGCCACACCTCAGTGTCAGTAATTCCATGTTGTTTTGTACAGTTTTTCTTTTTTCTTTTCTGGTTTTACTGCCACCTTCCTTTCCTTTTGTGTTTTCCAAAAGCAGTGTTTGTACCAAGATAAATAATTTGTGATAAGAGCTTTATGAATCTGTGGAAGAAATAAAAATAAAGGGAGGTTGTTTGTTCATCGCAATAACTGGTTTATATCTGGGCACCTTTTAGTATATGCTATTTTTTTTTATTTTGTAAAACAAAACAGTTATTGTTAAAGTAGAACTTCACAGGCAAAATAGGCCACCAGTGAGGTAAATAAACATACTGTTTGAAAAGAGTTTATTTTTTTGTATTTAGAGTGACGTTCACCAATTTGTGTTTGATTAAATACAAACCATTTCCTTTTATTATGTTGTCATTTATATTAAAACATTTAACACTAAATACTTCACAAATTCCAAGTTTTCTAAAAATAACATTAACAGAACTTATATAAAATAATACTAAACCATACAAAACTAACAAGTAATCATTTATACTAGCTGATTTACCACTGGAGCTAGAGTGGTTAAGCTCAGTTTTTTCCCCACTTATTGCAAAAGTTCTCTTTTACTAGTGTTTGAATCATCAGAATTGCACTCTTTAAGTCTTTTTTTGGCTGCAAGTCATCAGCTGGGCATCTGCTGTACTTGTTCCTTCATTGCCAACTCCTGTTGTTTGACAGCCTCTTGAGCCTCCATCTGCATCTTCTCCAATTTCTCCAGGGTGACTGATTTGAGTGGGAGCAGCTTTGGCTTACAAAGAACCATGGTTGGGACATCTTCCATGTAGAGCTGCCCTGTAATTGAACAAGATACGGTTACTTTTCCTACAACCTTAAAGGCAAAACTCAGAATCCCACCATCACTAATCATTAAAACCTTATTCCATGTGCTTGATCTTTGCTCGGTGCTACTGTTTTACAGTCAAAGGGGTAAAGTATCCTACTGATAACATTTTATATATGAAGCTACCATGAGCATCCAAAGTATACATAGCTAAAACAGTCTGCATACATTTGACATATTTTAAATATAACTGGAAATTGAGTGATTAAAAAAAAAAAAAAATGAAACCCTTAGTATTGCAAGCATACTCACCGGCCACTTTATTAGGTACACCTGTCCAACTGCTCGTTAACACTTAATTTCTAAGCAGCCAATCACATGGCGGCAACTCAGTGCATTTAGGCATGTAGACATGGTCAAGACAATCTCCTGCAGTTCAAACCGAGCATCAGTATGGGGAAGAAAGGTGATTTGAGTGACTTTGAACGTGGCATGATTGTTGGTGACAGAAGGGCTGGTCAGAGTATTTCAGAAACTGCTGATCTACTGGGATTTTCACGCACAACCATCTCTAGGGTTTACAGAGAATGGTCCGAAAAAGAAAAAACATCCAGTGAGCGGCAGTTCTGTGGGCGGAAATGCCTTGTTGATGCCAGAGGTGAGAGGAGAATGGCCAGACTGGTTGGAGCTGATAGAAGGGCAACAGTGACTCAAATAACCACCCGTTACAACCAAGGTGGGCAGAAGAGCATCTCTGAACGCACAGTACGTCGAACTTTGAGGCAGATGGGCTACAGCAGCAGAAGACCACACCGGGTGCCACTCCTTTCAGCTAAGAACAGGAAACTGAGGCTACAATTTGCACGAGCTCATCGAAATTGGACAATAGAAGATTGGAAAAACGTTGTCTGGTCTGATTTCTGCTGCGACATTCGGATGGTAGGGTCAGAATTTGGCGTCTACAACATGAAAGCATGGATCCATCCTGCCTTGTATCAATGGTTCAGGCTAGTGGTGTTGGTGTCATGGTGTGGGGAATATTTTCTTGGCACTCTTTGGGCCCCTTGGTACCAATTGAGCATCGTTGCAACGCCACAGCCTACCTGAGTATTGTTGCTGACCATGTCCATCCCTTTATGACCACAATGTACCCAACTTCTGATGGCTACTTTCAGCAGGATAATGCGCCATGTCATAAAGCTGGAATCATCTCAGACTGGTTTCTTGAACATGACAATGAGTTCACTGTACTCAAATGGCCTCCACAGTCACCAGATCTCAATCCAATAGAGCATCTTTGGGATGTGGTGGAACGGGAGATTCGCATCATGGGTGTGCAGCCGACAAATCTGCGGCAACTGTGTGATGCCATCATGTCAATATGGACCAAACTCCCTGAGGAATGCTTCCAGCACCTTGTTGAATCTATGCCACGAAGAATTGAGGCAGTTCTGAAGGCAAAAGGGGGTCCAACCCGTTACTAGCATGGGGTACCTAATAAAGTGGCTGGTGAGTGTATGTATTCACAACCCCTTTGCCTTATATCCCTAAATAAAATTGTGTTCATCATTCAGAGGAGACAAGAGGGCCAGGAAAAGACAAAGGGCTGCAGCAACATGAAGCTCTGTAGGGAGAATCTGGCATTGATCCCAATGCTATTCTTCAGCAAGGACTGGTGGTATGTCAATTCACGTTTCCCCTGCGTCTCCTCGCTGTCCCCTACTTGGCAGAAACGCATACTTGTTCAGTGCTCATATCCAGCACATAGCCCTACCAGAGAACCAGCGTGAAAGCTCAAACAATACATGTAGACAAAGTTTACCAACTTTCTTTTGCAACAGCACTCTGATTCATAAAATATTTCTGTATTCAAGGATATATGCTTATACACAAATAAACATCCATCTTGAGATGTGTGTGTGTATATATATATATATATATATATATATATATATGTATATACACACATCTCCTGTGACAGAATGGCGACCTGTCCAGGGTTTACGCTGCCTCTTACCTATTAAATGCCAGAGATAGGCACTGACCCTACCACAACCCTGACAAGGACTGAGCGGTAGTACATTTACTTACTTATTTATTTATATTTATATATATATATATATATATATATATATATATAGATACAGACTTATTAGCTAGAGTTAGCTTTTATAAAAGTTTCCACAGAAAATTATTCTGTCTTTAGATGTCCAAAGTTAGTAGGTAAACCCTTAGAGCTGTTGCTCAACTCTTTTTTGGGGGCCAAAAGTTGTACTGAATCAGAAGATGTTGTCGTCAGGGAGCGTGCTGAAAGGCAAACTAATAAAGTTATACACTGACTACATAGAAAAACATCTTAGCTATATAATACTCTCATCCAAGTTTCTGGGGACCCACATCTCAGCGGACCTGTCCTGGTCAACTAACACCTCCTGCCTGGTCAAGAAGGCTCATCCAAGGTTCTTCCTGAGGACACTGATGAAGAATCAGCTCCCCCGCAACTATCCTGGTGAACTTCTATCGCTGTGCAATACAAAGCATCCTAACCAACTGTGTAACAGTGTGGTACGGAAGCTTTTCTGTTGCAGAGTACAAGGCACTGCAGCGGGTGGCGAAAGCCGCCCAGCACATCACTGGAACTTCACTACCCACCATTGAGCACATCCAGGAGAAACGCTGCCTACATCGAGCCTGTAGCATTCTTAAGGACTCATCCCACCCAGCCCACAGACTGTTTCTCGCCTGCCCTCCGGCAGGTGTTTCAGGTGCCTCCGGACCAGAACTAGCACAATAAAGGGCAGCTTTTTCCCCAGAGCTGTCTCTTTACTGAACTCTAACCCTCACTGATGGACTCTACTCTCCTTCCTCACACCAACCACCATTTTGCTATTCTGTTTTTTTTTTTAGAAGACTGTAATGTTCACCTGCACTCCTGACTGTTACTATTGCATCTTGCACTACTCACTTTGACTGATAATTGATTTGCACTGCCCACTGTTTATTCACATTACCAATTGTTTACATATACATCTGCAATAACGTACTTTAACTGTAATATGCAATTACCTCCCATTGCACTTTAATTTAGATAGCTTCTGTCCAAACTTTATTTATTCATTTTATAGTAAAACCCATCTGTATATAATGCTGTTGTACATAACTGTAAAAACCTTTTTTTTTTTAAATAGTAATATCCACCTGTATATTATATTTGGTACATATCCAGCTGTAAATTTAGTTCATAACACTAGTGATCTATATATATTATATTCACTATTTATAATAGTATTCATCTCTATACTCATTCAGTAGAAATACCCATGTCCTGTATTTATGGAACCATTATTTATCCTGCACTTGCTGCTATTGCACTTCTGGTTAGACCTAAACTGCATTTCATTGCCTTGTAACTGTACCTGTGTAATGACAATAAAGTTGAAACTAATCTAATCTAATCAAGCAATGATAAATCCTCTCTTAAATACATTTTTTTTTATAACTCGTCAGTGATTTGTTTATTACAAATCAGTAAACATAATATATAGCAGAAGCTGCAATGTAGTTCTACAAAATGTAACTTTTGTAAAGGTTATACGTATTTAAATGTCAAGTTGTTTAAACCCATTTCGGACTTTTTGGTTTTAAAATCAAACAATTTTGAAAATCCTGCATAATTTTCCAGCAGCTTTAAAGCTGGCCAATAACAGAAAAAAACGATAACAAATAGGTTTTTTTTAAGACAAACTGTTAAAATATCAGATGGTTCAAACACATTTTGCAAAGCACTCCAGTGCTGATCAATGAAGGACACAGAGAAGCATCACAAAGGAAGGAATTCATATGGAGCATTTATAAACACTGCTGTGCAGATTAGCAAACAGCTGCAATACAAACCTTGTTTAGGCAGAACTTCTCTCAGTGTTGACTTGACCTCAGGCATCGTTTCGTCAGGGAGCGTGCTGAAAGGCAAACTAATAAAGTTATACATTGAATACCTAGAAAAACATCTTAGCTATGTAATAGACTCATCCAGCAATGATAAATCCTCTCTTAAATACATTATTTTATAACCTGTCCATGATTTGTTTATTACAAATAGGTAAACATAATATAAAACAGACGCTGCAAGTAGTTCTACAAAATGTAACTTTTGTAAAGGTTATACGTATTTATTTAAATGTCAAGTTGTTTAAACCCAATTCGGACGTTAACTGTTGCTAATTAGCACAGAGCTAACCCCGCGGAGCATGTTAGCATACTATGTGTTTTCTTATGCCTACATTCATAAACAATCACTTCCTTTAAAATAAACTTCTGTCGAGATTTTTAACTAAAACAGAAAACATTATTTGCACAAATTACAATGAATTATTCTTATGTTTGGTCGATCCTACCTTTAAGCTCCGGGATAAAGGAGAGTCACGTGACCTTCTTCTGGTTTATTGCATTAACGCTGTGCTATAGCGACACCCACCGGCGGCTCAGAGAAATGAAGACAAGACCACAGTTGTTGCAAAGGCGTGTTTGTACTTTGTCACTATCCAGAGAACATTAGACAAATTTAACGTCATCAAATTCTACCCCCGTGAAAAGGTTTAGGATAAATTAGGAAAATATATTAATAGTTATTCTACAATCTGTACTGCTACAAAAACTAACACTACTAGAAGAAAATACTGATTTGTTCTGCTAGTTTTAATCTAGATGTTTTGTGTCAAAGGCTGAGCAGAGCGAGGGTGTGTTATCTTAGACTTAACGTATAGAGATTAGTGTTGCATCATCCCTGAAACTGGTTTTCACTGATAAGTCTCAATTTCGTGCTTGTCTGTCAGAGCAGGATTGTGCAAGAAACATTCAGTCCAGGTTCTGCCAGACAATCACTGCAGCTCCTATTAGTAGCTCTAAAAGGTTTGTCCTTCTGATAAATGCTTCAGCTGCTGTGTCTGTCAGAGCCTGCAGCCAAACACGGGTCCTGTGTATCACTTTTAATATGCTGAATAATATATCTTTAAACATTTCTCTGATGATTCAACATGAACTCTAAAAGTTTTCACAATCAGTTAATATTTGTCTTTTTTTCACTTTTTTCTTTAGAATCAACAATCTAAATCATATAAACTTACCCCAAATACTAGTAGTAAAGTATTCATTACTAATACTTCATATAATGTAACTACTGTAAGACAAATACACATTTCATAAGTTCTTTTCAGATAGATTTGGGAATATTGTTTGAGGAAACATCATCTTAGACAAAAATTTGGTTTCCGTCTGTCCATTGACATCGACCACCCCTGTATATATATATATATATATATATATATATATATATATATATATATATATATATATATATATATATATATATATATATATATATATATACAGGGGTGGAGCTAGATGGGGGGCCACGGGGGTGAGCCAACGGGGCAAACCTCTTACCTGACAAAAAAAAAAGCACTGTGGTTAATTATGCACATCTATATACTAACATTAAAGATGATAAATACAGAGTTCATCCTCTTGGTCTTATATTGGGTACAGAGAAAATTAGGTCTCTGCAAGTCATCTAGGACTCTTCACTAATATCAGTGATAAATAACTACTTAAATAATTAGTAATCTATTTGATGTAGATATTAGAACATGTAAATATTAATTTGCAGAATGATTATTAATAAAAAATACGTAAGTAATGACAATGAATAAGATATCCGCCCCAGAACTCAAAACTGAAAGAATTTTGTCCACTACACCTTTAATTTAGACAGCATGGATGTTTAAATATATGCATCTATTTGTTAGCAAAGGCGGAAGGAAAATATATTTTGTCTTTATGTAGAAAATATGGATGTTGTGCTTGTTCCTTTTCCTTTTAGAACAGTGTAGATTGACCCTGATGTTCTGGCACCTATCCGCTTTTAGCCACCATTGGTTATTGCCTGGCCACCCTTAGTAAATTTTCTGGCTGCACCTTCATCAGAAACATGTTTTTAAAAATTTGGCTCTACAGCCATTTCACTACAATCCTTGACTGCCAACCTTATTCATTATCAGATAAATCATGTGCTATGACATGGCTCATGTATTTTACCATTTTCATAACATTGCACACTTGATGTACTATCTGAAGTGGAAGTTTATCATCTCTTCCTACTAAAATTGTGGAATTTATAACAATGCACATTTTGTTAAACAGGATGCCACACTAGATAGCATCACCAGCAGAAGAAGGAGAGAATGAATAAGGCATTAGGATAGGATGCACAATCCAGAAGACAATCATGCATTGAGCATTGATTCATAGAAAGATCATCCGAATTCAAATGAACAAGAGCAGAGAGTGTTCCACCAAATTGGATACTTAAAAACATACAGATAACATATAATAATGGCTTAAAAATTCTCCCTATAGCAAATAACATTTTATCTATTTTTTTACACACATTTATAGATCAGCCCTGTGTTCATTTTGAAAGTGAGCTGAAAAGGTTGCTGGTGATCCTGAACACTTTTGATAAGAATGTGTTCCAACTAAAGAGTAAACACCCCAAAGCAACAGGTTTGAAGCTCTCCATGGTGTACATCTTATCAGTCACATTCACTAACAATTGCAATAAAATAACCTATAACATTGGAACAGGTCATATTTTAGAGTCTCTATACTCCAGTTAATGATGAACTGATTACTAAACTAGTTTATGATTATCCGATTCATCATTTCAGCCCTAGAATCAGGTAATGTCAAACACGTTCAAAATCTTTTTTATTTGAGAGAGTAAATGATATCTGATTTGGCCACATGCTTTATCTGATATCTGTTTATACCTCTTCAGTTCAACCCAAAAGTTTGTTTTTAACTCTTTGCATCATTAAAGAGATTAGAATAGTGTTTTTCTTATCAAAATACTTAATAGCACTATATGTGGCTCCATAAAATAAATAAGGCTTAATCTTGACCACTGCTGAACAAGGCAAGCAGAAGCTTCCACACTGGGCCAAGAAACATAAAAAAAATTCTATTAAAGTTTTTGTAGAGTAGCTGTGTGTTTCCTGGACGGGGCCGCCTTTTACAGCTGCCTTTTGTATCTCTGCTTCTGTCTCCTTGAACCCCAGTCGGCCTCGGGAGATGGCCGCTCACATTGACCCTGGTTCTGCTGGAGGTTTCTTCCTGATAAAAGCGAGTTTTTCCTCTCCACTGTCGCTACAAGCATGCTTAGTGTGAGGGCTTGCATTCGAGTCAGTGAGTCAATGCAATCAATTGGTTTTCCTTAAATAGAAAACTTTGAATCAGTTTTACTGTATGATCTGGTGAACTGTAATGTGTCTTGAAATGACATGTGTTGTGAATTGGCGCTATATAAATAAACTGAATTGAATTGATTGACTGAATGAGGTAAAATTAGTTTTAGTTGACAATTTCTTTAGGAAGTATTTTCAAAAATGTACGCATCTTTCAATATACAAGACAACGTTTTTCAGTGGATATAAATCATGACCTTACACTAATTTAAAACAATTTAGTCCTTCTTAAACAGGAGAATTATAGTTTAGGAAATCCATCTACCTTTATTCTTAGTGTCCACAATCGTGTGGCCCTAAATCAAAAGAAGTGATTGAACATGTTTTTTTTTTTTTTTGTCAGATACATTTGTTAAAGTGTTTATTTACTATGCACAGTTTAAGACAGTGGCGGTTCTAGACCAAAATGTACCAGGGGGTCAGGAAGGGGGCAGGAGGTGGCCAGGAGGGGGCAAGCGTGTTTTCATGGGGGAACAGAAAAGCATGAAATAAAAAACAGGGAAAGTGATTCAAATATATTAAGATAGCTGCATGAAGAGAAATTTCTATTCAATTAGGTTTAATTAAAATTCTATGTCTTATTTGGTCAATATACAATCAGAATTTAGGAATGTTACATATTTTTGACCTAATTTAAGTTAAAAATAATCTTTTTCTATAAAATCAGAATTAGAACTTGAGCAAAACTAATAAATTCAGCTGTAAAAAAATTATAAGTATTTTTCTTAATTTGCTTTAAAAAAAAAACATTAAGCAGATGAAAACTGGGATCCTATCTCATTACCGCTGAAGCTACCACGTTATTATTATTTTTTTTTTAATAATTAGTAAAACATGATTTGTAAAGGAAAAAAATTAAATAGATCCAAAGGACCTTCCAGTAACCATGTCTGCTCCAGCGCATATCATCATTAGAACTTCTCTTAGTATTATGCCTTCGGTACAGGGGCCCTAACAGGGTCTCTGGCCCCCGTTGGCCCCTGTCTAGAACAGCCCATGCCTTCAATGATTAAAAATGAGCAGGTGGGACATCAAAATTACAATTTTTGTACGAGCTCTGCACACTTATAGCTGCTCATTAGATATGAAAATAAATATATACTCTCATCAGAAAGCTAAAACTTAATTATTGTTTTCTTATTGGTAAAAATATGTCAAAGTAATTAAGAGTATTGTGGTTGTTCAATAATAAGTTTATTTATATAAATCCGGCTACTATTGCCAGTGTTATCTTCCTGCATGGAACAAACACATAATTTGACTTTTTAATGTTTTTATTTTTTATTGTTTGTTTGACACGTAAAATAAGCAACACGTTATCATAAGGTATGTTACAAAAATATAATGGCTCTCCATAAATTAACATTCTCGCTGTTGTGTAGTGAAAGGTTATCCCAGTTTTATTTGATTTCTGGGTGCATTTGAAAGTCTCGTGATAACATTGGTTAGGCGTAAGTATGACGCAGTTGTGTGATCGGGGGCAGAGGAGGGAGGGGAGCAGCAGTGTAGGAAAAGAGGAGGAAGCAGCAAGGATGGCGGAGTCACACCTCTGAAGGTAAACCGCTTATTTTAAGCCCAATAACAATAAACCTTTCCATCCCTTCAGCTAACTGTGGTCTAACTCACTTAGCGTTACTCTTCCCTTCGTTTTACGGAACTCTGTTTAGCGTTACTGTGTCATTTTCTGTTGGCGAATACGAGCGCTCTCTTTTGTTCAGCTTCGGAATGGCCGCTGTTTTTTCAGTGTTTTCTTTTTTTTTTCTCTTCATTTGTTTTCAGTTCGAAATCGACGCGTGATTACTGCGCTGCAGCTAGTTGGTATATAGGTTGTTGTAGTGTTCTGGGTGTTTATCTACCTCACCCCCGGCTGCTCTATGGGGCTCTGGTGTCCGCTGTGTGAGCTCACAGCTGGCGGTAGCAGAGATTTCCCCTCTCGGGCGATAACCGCTCTGTTTGGGCCTACGGTGAACCCCTCCGCTCAGGAGCAGGCGGACCGCTCGCTGCCTGGACTCATCCTTTCCCCTCCCCTGCGTGTATATATGTGGATTTAGTTTTTTATTGTCACTTAGTGCGATTTTACTGCCTGTCTTTTTAGGAATGTTAACGTTAGAATCTCATTAGCGGGTTGGGCTAAACTGCTCGCGCTAGCTAAAGCTAGCAGGTTAGCGGTCTGGCAGAACTGACGTTTGCTTAGCTGTTGACGTTTAGCTTATTTCCTGCCTGTTGCCAGTGGTTTTGGCAAAGTTTTCTCAATATTGACATTTACTTCGTTCAAAAGAAAAATTTCTGTTAATTCTGGTTGACTCTTTTTTTTCCCGTATAGTTAAACAACTTGGCTAAATGACTTGGTAACGTTGAGCGTAACATGTAGCATTGTTTTAGCACATACCCAATTATTACTACTGTACAAGTTAGCATACAGCAATCTCTAATATTTACTTTTTCGTTCTTGTTTGGAAATGTATTAAATCTCTTTAGGCGACTTGACTTGACTCTTCAGCTGCCAAGCTGTTTCCAAGATTTGCTTATAAAACAGCTGCCACATCACCTTTGTTTTCCTAATTTCTCCTGGGGCCTGATTTGTGTTATTTATTTATTTCAGTGTTGTATGGCTTTCCATTTCCACAAAAGAGTTGAGACGTGAATTGCTTTATTTCCATGACAGGCACGTTTCATTTAAAACATTTTTTAATGATTTGCTGTGTTTATTTATTTATTTTTTGTCTATCAAAGACAGTGAGACAGATATCAGCAGAGTTGGGATTTACTCTAAATGCTGTGGCAGTAGCAAATGGGTCAAAGATATCCTTAATGGAAACTTCATTAGTGTGTGTGGGGAAAGTCAAAGTAGCTCTTTATGGTGGTGCTGCGGTTGTGTTGATGGATGCACATTAGCCTTTTTTCTTAGTAAAGCTGTATTTGACTTCAAGCCTGATCTCTACATGGGCCAAATGCTTTTCACTTCGCATAATGTGTTTGCAAGCCTTGTTTACTAAAATGCTTCTTAGGCCCATCCGAAGTCTTGGAGCAAAAACAATTATGTCTATACACCTACAGATCAGACTGTTGTACGATTGTCATTAGTGCTGCTGTTTTAAAAAAAACATCATTACTAAAATTGGAATGACTGTTTAGACATCTCTAAACTGTTTAGAGATGCCCCAGTCAATCACCTTCATATCATAATTTACATCATTTCCCTCGATCTCCACTGTTTATCAACAATTCAAGCACTAAAAATAAAAATGAATTCTAGTTTTCTGCTCGATTACTTGCACAAAACCAAAGGATTTTAGTATTATAGGTCTATATGTAAACCAGTGGCACATAGAGCTTTGCACTTTTTTTTAAGTAACATAAATCAGTTATGGACCTTTGCTTTCCTGCATGACTGAGAATAATCCTGTCATTTCTTTATTTTCTGCATAAATCCAATCTGCAACCATGGTCAGAGAACTTGTAGAGTATTCAAATTTATTTTTTTATAGTCCTTAGAGGTGGAATGTGAGATCAGAAAGGAAAACACTGGTACTGGCCAGGAATTGTGCATCTTTGTAAGTGTTTGGCTTCAAAGTTATTGTGTAACTAACTCCTATTTATCATAGCAAAGTTGTAGGTTTATTTGTAACTATCCTTAGCTTGCTTCAAGGATATGTTGTACCCCAGATTTCATGGCTAACTCATGATGCAATGTCAACACTCCATGGGCCATGTTTGCTTAGCAGCAGTGAGCTTGTGTGAGGTTATCCCAAGTACATTAAACAGATTTTCCTGACCTGCTGTGGAAACATACTCACTTAAACAGGTTTGGTAGCTTTTCAGAAATCCAAAATCTATTGGTTAAGGCCTACCTTAAAGTAACACCCAGCAGCTAAAGGCTAACTGCAGGTCTTAGAGATGCAAACCCAAAGTGGATCTTTTCCATTTTAATGTGTCGACATTATTTACGCAGGGGATGGATGTAATCTTTCAGTTTGAAACACATACTGGGAACAAAGCGTAAACCTTAGAGTATATATGATTTTAAAATTAAATTAATCAAATAACATTTCACTGAAACTACTTATAATTTAGATTTTTACACTTTATGAATTTTGTTTGATATTGTTACCTTGGCCAGAAATGCTTCTGCATGTTCCACTCAGTGCTTGTTTCCTGATCATCATTGTTGCACAGACCCTCCTTCCATTACAACTCAGAAGTACTTTATTAGTTAAAGGGAATCAACTCAAAGGGAAATTGCATTTCCCATATAAATAATCATCACAACCTTAAAGGTTTATTAATCAGCATTTCTAAAACCTTCAGTTTTGCAATTTATTTATTTTTAGTTTTTTATTTTTATTTTGTCAAGACAGCCTAGATCCCTTTTGGTGATACCTTTTGGCATGTGGTCAAGTACACATTCCTATAGTCATATAATGCATATAATAATTTGTTTGATTAAACACATTACTTTAAAATTATTGTATAATTATACCATTAATGCTGTGTAAATGATAAGTACATTTGTACCCTTTAGATTTGGCTGTTACATTAGACTAAACCTATTATTATTGAAACTTTTCTGGTTTGCCCCTTCACTTTAATAGGTCATCTTCTTTTTTTGACTTTGACAGCTGTTTGTACAAAAAAGTAGTCTGCCAGTGTAAAGCAAATAAACGTAAATATAAGGATGGTGCTGCATCAGGGCAGAGAAACCAACGCTGCAACCATAAAAGGAAGTGGCTTGCACAGCTACGTTTACATGGTTGCAGCATTTGGCTTGGCCTGGTTATTCTCAGTTAAACTTTCTAACAACTGAGCACGCAAGTATTTTTCCAGCAACCAATTTTCTATTTTACTGAGTTAATTTATGCAAAGCAAAAAGAGCAATGGATACCTTTTTATTGTTTATAGGATGCACTGTATGGTGTACTTCCATGTAAGGGGTACATCTATCATCTAACCGTAAGCCAAAAGTCATGTGATCCAGTGTGGTGTGGACTTTGCTTTGAAGGCATTTTCTAAAGATTGCTCTCAGCAGTTCCAACCTTTTCTCCTGGCTTCGATTATGATTGAGACTTTTTTTTTTCTTTTAGAAGCAGCTTGGCTTTAGCTGTTGCTGGAGTGTTTTAGTCCATGATCAAGGTAACTATAGGATAGACTAAACACTAAACGTAGACAAGGAGAAGAACTGGTTTGTTTGTAACATAGCTGTCAAAAGGTCTGCGTTCTATCACACATTAGAGGGACAGAAAAAAAACTTTATTGTGCACAATATAAACTAGGCAATGTTTGTTATTATGGATAACGCTGGCCGTTGTTTGGTTATGAACAAATTATCAGTGTCTCATAGTAATAATAATAATAATTATAGCTGGAGCAGGTGTCTGCGGAGAGGGAATTCTGGGAGTCACTGCTGTCCCCCGGTCCCAGATAAACCAGAAGACAATGACTACGAGTACACATCCGATAGTACAAACTTTACCTTCTCAGACATGTGTTTCATGTTGATATAGAAGACAGTGAAGTTTTATTTTTAGGTCTGAAACAATGAATCGGAATTGTGATTAATTAATTATTGAAATAATCATCAACTAATTTAGTAATTGATTAATCATTAACTGGATTATACAGACTCTAAAACATGCCTTTAGGTGACAGAGCAACCCCCTTAGTGAAGTAATTATATACAAAAATGTTAAAAAATATGTAAACATTTTGCATTTAAGATATAAAAAAAACTTTTTGTCTGTCAGAATGCTATATCCAAAACTAAAATCTGATCCATCCCCAACTTTAAATCTTCTTTAAGCGACCTTTGGCTATCTGATCATTAATCGATTAATCACAAAAATAGTCGACAGATTAATCGACTTGTAAAAAAATCATTAGTTGCACCTCTCGTAATATGATACGTTTTTAGTTCTCATACAATAACCATATTGCACTTTTAAATATGTACCGATATTAACCAGATGCAATATCCGCATTAATCATACATACTTTTATTACTGATTTTGTAAGGTTCAATCAGCTGATATAACTTGAACAGTAAATTATGGTAACCAACAATAGGTATGAGAACAACGGACCCATTTCTCATTAAGTACAAGCAAACAGATACTTCGGCCAGCCGGTATTTTTGGCCAATGTTATTTTCTTATATCGGATGATCCTTGCATGCGTTTGATTTATTAATGCATTCAGCAGCCATGTGTTGACATCAAGTGAGGCACGCATTTTGCCACTAGAGCTGCATTAATACCTGGGCTGAGTATATTGGCTGATATTGAATACCAATCTATCCAGCTGTTGAATGGGCAAACCATATATCTTGCCATGTTAGTGAATGTAAATGTACTTTATATATTTATTCATAAATTATCAGAATAGTGACCAGTTTAGGTTGTACCCCATCTCTCGCCAATTGAAAGCTGGAGATGGGCACCCGCATCCAACAGAAGATGGACGGATGGAGGGATGATAAATAAGCACCAAAAAAACAAGTAACAGTTCCATGTAAAGTGTACTCAATTGGATGTCTGATATCAAATCACCGATATCTGATGCATCTAATTAGTCAGTATCTGAGTCAATACCTAATCCAGGTATCAGATCAGTGTATCTGCCACTGTATCCATCATCTTTTCTTTAATGTTTTTATTTTTTATGATGAATGCTAGCATTGTATTGTTTTAATCATTGAATTGAGGCAGAAAAGCAATATCGACTCCAAGATTTGGCCCAAAAATTTTGGCATCTCATGTCTGGGATTGGTTGGGCTAATTTTCAAAGTAATTGCCAAAGGCCTTAAAAAAAATCAAGAATTTGTTGGTCAGTCTCTTTTAATTATCCAAAGTCACAGCGTCTGCAGTAGCATTTATTCTCTTTGGCCGTGCAGACTTTGCAGATGCGTCACGCATAAACCAAGCTCGAGAGTTGAAATACAGGCTGATTTATTGCAAAATGTATTTGGGTGATATCAGAATGTTTTTAGATATGTAGATTTGATAAGGACATCCCTACTAGTAAGTTATATCTTTGACAAATTGTTCCTGAAGTAGCTGCAACATTAAATCGTTTTCTCAATATTTTTCAGCTAGGTCTGTTTGATATGGCTGAAAAATGTGTTTCTGGCTTGGAGTTCAGTAGAACTATTTAGAATTCTGTAGGATGTATATATTTTATTATTGGTCAGGTGTCTACGCTAGTGTATATTGGTATTGTTTTCTTTGTTCCAGCTTAGTTTCAGCTCTCAGGCAGAGTAATCAGCTTAACGTTTACTCCATAATTTTTAATTTTCTTTTTGTGATGTAATTTGCACCCTAAAACCTTTTAAGTTAATTTTCTGGAGTATTTCTCCCTTATTTTATTAAAAGTTTCTTGGAAAATAAAGTACACCAAACATGTGATGTTGTTTTAGCTAGTTGTAATTAGAGGGGCAATGAATAAAAATTGTATCCCTTTTTCTTCTTCTTCTATAAAATTCCTAAGTACTTGATGCATCCCAAAGGGAAGTTATATACAGAAGTTTAAACTTATGATTTCAGCAGGTTCTAGTTTGTTTAAAGAGTAAGAATTGCTTTAGAAAAGTGTTTCTAAACATTTTGTTGTAAGCAATCATTGGTTGCTTTTATTGGAGGTAGAGGCAGCTTTACAAAGTCTTTGTAACAGAGCAGTCGTTGTAAAACCGTATCATACTGACATATGAAATGAGTGTTCACATTTTTAACCCTGTAGGAAACAGAAAATAGACCGTTATCTGATCTCCCTCAGAAGGTTTCAAAGTCCAAAACGTTTCAAGTCAAGTAGACGTTGAAAGTTCAAAAGGATAAACCAGATCAGCTTAGCTTCTTTAGGTTCAGCCTTCTTGTTATCTGTTTGAAAATATCTCTTCCTCTCTCATAGCTGGAATAAACCTTTCACATTTCGTACATATATGGTTTCTTCTCTGTCTCTTTATAGCTTCTGTTTTCAGCAACTCCCCAAAACTGAAATGGCCAACTTTAAGTCAGTCTTCATTCAGTGGCCATGCTGAACTCTTTTTCTTGTCAGTGGAGTATGGTAGCATTGAGGACTATTGCATTCATGTGGAGCAGAAAGATGAGCTGATTCTTATCAGCAACAGATCATATTGATGCTTTAGTTCTAAACTCATATTAGCTGCATATTTTGAAAGAGAGAACATTTTGGTGTAGCTCTTATTGAACATTTTAAAACACGAGTTTGGTTCTGTGTGATGTGAAAGAAATGCATGATAGGAAAGATGAGGCAGAGAGCCATTCATCTGTTGAAACTGAGATGTTAATGTTTATAAAACAGCATTGCATTGACTCAATGTTTTTTTTTTTTTTCTTCAACAGTGTTTTTTTTCAGAGGGATTAAGCAAACTGCTGCAACCTAAAGCAACTTCTAATCAGCAGACCTGGGATTGACGGGAGTTTAAAGGCTCAAGCATGAGTCCAGTGGACGCCACAGGTTACTTGCTTCGTAGCCGTATTTGTCCCATTCTACTTTAGCCAAGGAACAGTCCCTAAAACGTCCCTTAGGTCAAGTGGCCATTTATTCCAAGGGTAATCATCAATTTGTCGGCCTGGATAGGGATGTATATTTTAAAAGCTTCTTTGATTATCTGTGTCCCTTTGTTTCTTAATAAGTAACCTGTCAAGAGAGAGTCCCATGCACATCTATGCTGGGGTGCTGATTACGTCAAAATGAGTAGTTCCTTAGGTAAAGAAAAAGATTTAAAAGAAAAGGACCCTAAAGGTGGTCTAGCAGGTAAAGAAAGGGACAAAGAGGCCAAGACTTTATCCAGCCTAGTCAAAGATGGTGGCAAAGAAACAAAGACCAAAGGGAAAGACACAAAGGAAGGAAAGAAGGACACAAGCAGCTCAACACCAGGTGTTGCCTTTTCTGTTGACAACACGATAAAGCGGCCAAACCCAGCACCAACCACACGCAAGAAATCCAGTAATGCAGAGGTCATCAAAGAGCTTAATAAGTGTCGGGAAGAGAACTCGACCAGACTGGACCTATCCAAACGGTCCATTCACATGCTGCCCACTGCTATTAAGGAGTTGACTCAGTTGTCAGAACTCTATTTATACAGCAACAAGCTACAGAGCCTACCAGCTGAGGTGGGCTGCCTGTCAAGCCTGGTCACTTTAGCCCTCAGCGAGAACTCCTTAACCAGTTTGCCAGATTCCTTGGATTCCCTGAAGATGCTTAAAATGCTTGATCTCCGGCACAACAAGCTCAGAGAGATACCTCCTGTGGTCTACCGGCTGACGTCTCTGACCACACTGTACCTGCGCTTCAATCGCATCACCACAGTGGAGAAGGACATCCGAAATCTTTCCAAGCTCACCATGCTCAGCATCCGGGAGAACAAGATTAAACAGCTACCAGCAGAAATAGGTATGTGTGTCTAATGGGGGGAAAAAGACAAACTAAAGAATGAACAAATGGCTAAAAGTTTGATCAACAGACTAAATATTGAGAAAGTCCATCCATGACGTACTTGTTTGTTTGCTCTGCTGCCTCTACACCATCTCCCCTCATTATCTTGTTGTTTCCCCTCTAATGTCTTGACTATCAGTCTGTCGATCAAGCCATCTCTATGAAATCTGTTTATCCGTTGAAATAATCCGTTTTACTGTCTGTCCATCTGTCTCTAAACTTAACTGTTCATCGGTTTCCACACATTTTCTTTTCCATGTCTAAAATTTTGGCCTCTGTAGGAACATCTTCTGGAAGTTTTCACTCATTTGTTTTTAAAAAGGGACAAAAATTGGGCCCATAACTTTATTGTAAGTAATATGAACATTATTGGAGTTTGGAATAAAAGACAAAACTGAACATATTTTCTGACTTTATCTTATATGAAAGAAAAAACTGTGTTTATCATGTTTTTTTTTTTATTTTTTTTTTTATCAAAATACTATGCAAATCATTCCGCAGCATATCTATCCACAATTTTGTTCTTTATCATTATATTTGGTGCATTTTTAAACCGCATACAAATAATTACTGCTTTGCCAACTTGTCTAAATTATTTGTAACTTTGTTTTTTTTCTGCAGGGGAGCTATGCAGCCTCATTACTCTGGATGTTGCCCATAATCAGTTGGAACATCTACCAAAGGAGATCGGAAATTGCACACAAATAACCAACCTTGACCTGCAGCACAACGAGCTCTTGGACCTCCCAGAGACTATAGGTAATTTAAGTTTGGCACTTAGGTAATCCTTTGACTTTAACTTTACAGCCTGATGCTTTTTCTTTGTGTCTATGAATTGATGAGCAGTTAAAATCAAAATTTTTTTTTTTTGGATTTCTTAATTCATTATGTGTTCTATTTATAGGAAATTTGGCAAGTATAAATCGATTAGGACTGCGATATAACCGATTGTCAGCCATCCCCAAGTCGTTAGCCAAATGTCGAGAACTTGAGGAACTAAACCTTGAAAACAACAACATTTCAGTATTGCCAGAGGTAAGAGCAGAGGTTTTTACACCCGGGGTGAATATAAGGGACTAAGAGCAATCATTTAGATTTCCTTTCTGTTTATTTTTTAAATGGTTTGTCAAAAGATTATTTTCTTGCCAAGTTCCATTTGGATATATTTAAAGTTCCTTGATCATTTTCAACATGTCAATATTTTGTTTTATGTCAGGGCCTGCTGTCCAGTTTGCTAAATTTGACCAGTCTGACGCTGGCCAGGAACTGCTTCCAGTCTTACCCTGTGGGTGGGCCCTCCCAGTTCTCCACTATTTACACGCTCAACATGGAGCACAACCGCATCAACAAGATCCCGTTTGGTATCTTCTCCAGGGCCAAAGTGTTAAGCAAGCTCAACATGAAGGTATTTTGGTCGTTCTGTAAAACTTTCTATGAATCTTTAATTGTACCATTCATATAAATACATTTTCATTGTTGCCACAGCATCACAGGCAGATTTTAAGATTTATATCTAAGAATCACCAGTGGCAAGAACAAGGATTACCCATAGTCTCTATCAGGGCCTGTTTTTGTAATCTAACAAGTTTACAAAACACAAGATTTCATGTCTGTCATTATTTATTGAAAGAAATTAAGCCAAAGTGAAAAATTATTTTGGGAACAAATTGAGCCTATGATCTATTAGCTTAATTTTATTAGGGACAGTTTTATGTAGTTATATTATTTGTAATCTTCTTTACAAGATTGCTTTAGTTAATTGATACAGATTTCTGCACAGCCCTCTTGAGGCCGTTGTCCCTCTTTTTTGTTTCTTTTCTTAACATTCTGTAGTAGAGTTGTTGTTTTTGAGAGTCTTATCCTGTTGATAACACAGTTTAAGCCAAGCTTCAGATCTCAAGTAGGTGGCCTCACATTTGACCCCACAATACTTTGGTTTAAAGAGGGGCTTATGGCACACTCAATTACTGCATGATGTTCAGCCCCTGTAACAGGATGAGACCAACTCATCACCCTTTCTCTACCTTTTTGCTTGAAAGTCTCTGAAACATGCTCTCCTAAGATGGAAAGTTAAATTGGTCAACTTTACTCCCTTTAATATAAAATACTTTAGATTATTTAGAGAACTAAACATTTTTGATGAAGTCACAAACTGATTTCTTTGGCTTTGAATTTCTTTGAGGAGTAATGATTTTGTTTTTGTACACTTCAAGTTATTGTAAATAATTGATTTGAAAAGGAGTGTTTTTATTTTTCCTTTGACGTTTCTTATTTTAAATTTGAAACATCCATCATTCAACAGCACATGAGACTTTAAGCAGACATTTAGTTATTCCTTTTTTGAAATAAAGTACAGCTTTTAAAAATTAACCCCTTTTCAACCAACATTTACATTATAAGATGGGGCATATGTTGTTTATTAGTATCACGTAAAAGCAACCCAAAAAATTCATAAAAAAGCTGATGGACATAGACTATCAGGAGATACTGTCTTTACCCATCAAGGGCAGCCACTTTATTCATTCTCCAAGACACCAGGGGGCAGTATTGCACTCCATTATCAGACAGTGTGCTATAGTGATTTGCTAATTGCTAAATTCTCAGCTGAAAACAATATTATTGAGCTTCCACATCAGGTAGCACATTAATCCTGTTAGACTGCTTGTCTATCAGCATGAGAATTAAATGAAGCATTGTTCCCTGCTGGATAAACAGGATTAGCTTAGAGGATTGAAACAACATTTAAGGCTGCGTCTAATAAACGATAATCATGTTAGAATTTGTGACATGGTGACACATCTTTTTACTACAACTATATGGAACATTGCGATAAACGTAAATCTGAAAGGTTATTAGCACTTTGTAGATCTGGCTCAGAGGAAGAAGTTTAATGATTAAGCTTCAGCTTTTGGCAAGACAAATCATATACTGTTTTTTTTAAACATGCAATTTAATTCAATGAGTAGGAGAGCTCTTCTAAATGCTTGGATAATGATTTAATTTAAGTAGGAGGACAGA